GACTCGTCGGAGCGGTCGCCGCAGTCGTCGTCCAAGTCGCACGTCCAGGAGATGGGGATGCAGCGCCCGCTGGCGCACGAGAACTGGTTGGGGGAGCAGGTCCGGGCTGCACCGGGAGGGCAGAAAGAGCTCTAAGGACAGGCCATGGCAAGCAAAGCCCATGGCCAGCCTGGCTGCAGGGAGGGCAGCTGGTGCCTGGCGAGCAGGACGCCCCCGGGCGCCGAAGCTCCGCTCGCAGCGTGGGCAGGGGAGATGAAGCCCCCCTGCGCCCCTGGCAGCTCCTCACCGGAGCACGTGGAGTTGGACTCGTCCTCGTTGTTGCCACAGTCATTGTCGCCGTCGCAGAGCCAGCGATTGGGGATGCAGCGGTTGTTCTTGCACTTGAAGCGGTCGGAGGGGCAGGTGTGCTGGTCTGCGAGGAAGACACCTCATTCTCAGAGCCTTCCTCCCGCCTGCCCTCCCCAATGCTCCCCCTGCCACCGAAACCCCAGCAAAAGGGGCAGAAGCTGCAGGTCGAAGCGGGGAGCAGCTCCCTACGCTCCATCCTCCCTCCTCCTCCTCCCTCGCTGCCACCACGGGACCCCATGCACGATGCCGCGTTCCTCGGCCGAGCGGGGACCCCGACGCGGGCTGCCCCCCCGCGCTGTGCGGGGCTGCTACACACGGCAGAGCTCGGGGGCCTCGTCGCTGTTGTCCAGGCAGTCGTTGTCGCCGTCGCACTTCCAGCGCTCCTGGATGCAGCGGTTGTTCTTGCAGGCGAACTCGCCGGGCTGGCACTGCGGCGGTGGGATGTAGGATGGGTTGGCTGCAATGGGAAGCGGGAGAGGGGAAGGCTGTAACTGAGCGGCTGGGGCAGGACGGGGGCAGCTGGAGGACAGTCCCGCGGCCCCCCCTGCTCCACGAGGAACTTGGACACGGACACCCCGAGGCCGCTGCCTACCCTGGCAGGTGACCGTGTCGGACCCCAGGATCTGGTCCTCGGCGAAGGCGCACTGCCGGCCCCGGGGAGTGGCCAGGCACAGGCTGCTGCAGCCCCCATTGTTCACGCGGCACTTGTTGGAGCCCACTGCGGACACGGGGCAGGAAGGGGGGACATCAGCCCCCTGGGGACCCCCCTGGCGCAGGGGGACGGGGAGGAGCGGGACGGAGGGCGGCCAGACCTTGCTGCTGCTGCGCGTCGTACATGCGGATCTCGAAGATGGGCGGGCGCTCATTGCGCAGCAGGCTCACCACCTTGGAGCTCTGGTCCAGGCGGTAGATGCTGCCGCTGCGGTACTCGGTCCAGAAGAGGAAGCTGCTGTAGTGGCACAGCCCGAAGGCGTGATTCAGCTCCGGACCCTCGTACACGATCTGCGGGGCGCAGAGAGGCCCTCGTTACCAGGGCGGCCGCAGGGATGCATTGGGACGGAGCGTGGGACGCAGCCGGACCCGTCCTGCGGGACCGCAGCCCAACGAGGCCCTGTGGGGTCTCCAAGTGGGGCCTCCACTCGCCTTCCGCTCTGTGCCGTTCAGGTAGACCATTTCGATGCGGTCGTAGAAAGCATCCACCCAGTAGAGGATCTTGGCCGGGATGTCCAGGCTCAGCCCGTTGGGCCACAGGACAGTCTTGGAGGTGATGAAGATGTTGCGGTTGGAACCATCCATCCAGGCCCTCTCGATCTTGCCTCTCTTGCTGTCCTTGGGATCCTCCTCCCAGTCCGTCCAGTACATCCACCTGCGGGAGATGCTACGCAGTCAGGGCCCAGGAAATCTGGGCTCTGAGTCCAGCCCAGCACTTATGTAAGGAGCAACGGGGCTCTGTCCCCATTTCCCCTCACACCCGGATATTTTGAGACCAAAATTTCCCTGTCACCCAGCAAGAGGCAAAGGAAGAACCTCCCACAGGCCCCCGAATCCCAGGGACACCGTCGCAGCCTAGGACACGGGAGCTGCAGTTGCAGACCTGAGCGCAGGAGCTCGGCACCACTCACCCGTTGAGGGGATCCACCACGATGGCCCGTGGGTGGGTCATCTTCCCTTCTATCAGCGTCTTCCGCGTCTGGGCGGCCTTCTCCAGCCGGGCCACGCTGATGGTCTTTTTGGGGCCATCATCGGTCCAGTACAGGTTGTTGCCCATCCAGTCCACAGCGATGCCCTCCACATTGTGGATGCCTTGGGGAGAGGCCGGGACACGCGTTAACCACCACGGCAGAGGCGCACGAGCAGCGGGACGCACAGTGCAGCCACGAGAACTGCGGGAGAAGAGACGCTCCCGGCCACCCACCGTCTTTCAGGATGGTTTCGCGCCCGGTGCCGTCGATCTTCTGGCGCCCAATGAGGTAGCTGGTGGTGTCAGCGAAGTAGATGAAGCCGGTCTCGGCATGGAAGTCCAGCGCACGGGGGTTCATGAGGTTCTCGATAGGGATCATGTGCTCATCAGGCACCTTGGCCCCCATGTCCATGCCGCGGATGATGCCGGGACGCCCCTTCCCATACACCAGGAACAGCTCGTGCTCCGGCTCTGCAGAGACGAGGGCAGAGCCGTCACCACCGTCCGGACGAGGGCAGCGCGGGGCCCTCACAGCCGTGTGCCCCCTGTGCCACCCGCCTGCACGGACTGCACGTCCCACGGGCCCCGTGTGCCACCTCCCTGCTGGGACATCCTCAGGGGCACCAGGGACAGGGCTGTTGGTAACCAGGTGGGGAGGATCTTGCAGCCCTGCTGGCCCCATGGCCGGGACGGCCGCCGGGGCTGGGACTCACTTTTGCAGGACTTGCCGTCGCTGCCCAGGCTGAAGCCAGACCTGCAGCGGCACGTGCGGGTCTTGTGGCTGTTCCCAAGGAGGCAGATGTCGGAGCAGCCACCAGGCTTGCCGAACTGATCCGGCTCACAGGCATGGCTCCGCACTGGAACAACATGGAGACCCAGGCGGATTCAGGGGCGCGTTTGGCAATCGGAGCCGCACATGGGCAGCCTTCCCAGGGGAAATTCCCATGGCTGCCGCTGGCCGGAGCTGCTGATCCCTGGGCTGATGTGTCCCAGTCCCCCTTCCCGGTCAGCAGCAAGGGGCTGAGCCCAGCACAAGGCACCGGAGGTAGAGAGCAGAAAGGACCTGCTCCAGACGCAGCCTGCTCGGTGGCAGCACCGGGAGCAGGAGCCAGGCCTGGGGCCCAACATGTCACCATGTCCCCGCATGCTGCAGCGCTCCCAGCCTGGCACTGAGCAGTGAGCGCCCGGCCAGCTGCCTCCATCACCCCCCTTCCCCGCTCGAAAATCTCCTGATTAGTTTTGTGTTCTGGAAAACGCCGAGCGAAGCGCCGGCACTAAGAGGATTTAAATCATGCAAATTGATTAACTGCAGGAAAGGTGCCGGGGGAGGCACAGGGAGGGACATGGGGCGCGATGGGCGCCGCGGCCACACGGCTCCTCAGGAATCCCCACGGCCTGGAGCGAGGACGAGCGCTTCGGCAGCGGGGCAGCTGGAGCAGCCGCCTTGAAAGGAGCCATTAATATTTCACGCTGCCGCATCTGCTCGGCTTTCCCCTCCCTTTCTTAGTGAGACGCGTCCCATCAATCACGCCGTACGGGCCGCGCGGCCCTCGGGGACAGCTGTCACTTTTATCTCACAGACAGGGACAGGGAGATAGCGGGGGTCGAGGGGTGCTCCCCGCAGCCCATTAAAGCACCACAGCTGCCTGCAGGAGAGGAATCGCATGCAAACCCCCTTCCCAGGGAGGGCTGACAGCAAGGTGGCAACTTGGGAACCCGCCACGTGTGCCAACGGATGCCCCCCTTCCCAAGGTGGCTCTGGGCAGCCGCATTTTCAGGTCTCCGGTGCCGGTTGGGGACCAATGGGGCGACACGACGGCGCAAACGGCGCCGCGCGCCCACCTGTGGGCTGCCGCCGCTGGTGGTAGATGTGCAGCGCTCCGCCCTTGTCCACCCGCGTCACCACCTGGTACTCGGTGCTGTTGAAACGGTTGACGCGGATGACGCTGGTTTTCTGCTGGGCGTTGGCGTTGTCGGAGTTGGTGGCATAGAGGTAGTTCTCGAACACGGTGAGCCCATAGAGGTGCTCAATCTGGAAGGCACCGTGCGCGCGGGGCGCTCAGGAGACGCGGGAACCCCAGCTCCGCTTCGGAGCCTCCGCTCCTGCCCCGGGAATCTGCTCCCTCCCTTCCCCGGAGCCAGGGATGGCCTCGGCACGCGGGTCCCGCAGGGCCCATTGGGGCTCGGCAATCGCTGGAGCAGCCACCAAGGTCTCCACAAGCGCCCTCAGGTCCTCCCTGGCCCGGCAGCCCCAGGGCCCCGCTCACCAGGATGCCCTGGATGATGGTGTGCCGGTTCTTGCCCTCATAGTCGACCACCTCGATGTAATCCAGGTAGGCGTCCGCCCAGTACACGAGCCGGTTCACCAGGTCCAGGGTGATGCCGTGGGGGAAGACGATCTTGCTGTCCACCAGCTTGGTGCGGTTCTGCCCATCCATGTCACAGCGCTCCACCTTGGGGATCTGCCCGTAGTCCGTGAAGAAGACTTTGCTGCACGAGAAGGGCAACACGGGGGCTCAGAGGAGGATGTCACCTTGGAAGCGCCCCCGGGAGCACGGGCAGGACTAGGATCACACGCAGACACCGGATCGCGCGTGGCATCACACCCACCGCAGGCCCCATGCGCCTGCCCCTCCGCGTGGCGATGCCGGAGCGCTCCGGTGCGCGGGCGGCACCGGGGCTG